TCCTCCTCCTCCTCCTCCTCCTCCTCATTCATCTTCTTCTTCTTCTCCACATACTGATCTCGTACTTTTGATTGACTCGTTAATGTGGAGAACTGGGAGGCTCGGGGTTAGGGGGGCGCAGCCCTCAAGGTCGTGCGTGCTGTTTTTCATTCTTCCGTTAGGCTTGGCTACTTCTTTATGTCGAGCTCGGGCGCATGCTTCCTGAAACGACGAACCTAGGCCTATTGTTCTCCATCCTTTGATCTAACATTCTCGGAAAGACGGACCTTCTTGTCGGCGCGATACTCTCGTGATTCGATACCAGTGTTGTCACAGGGTTTTTTTTTTAATATTACGACCTCTTCTCGTTTTCGTCCTTTCGTATTACATTTTAAAATTATTATATTGACACTGTGTAATGCGATCATCTGTCTGAGATGGCCATTTTTCTGCTCGTGAGTATTGGATATGGATATATTATAGTTTAAATAGTCTTGCACATTTATACGAGCTGCGGGCTGTCACAATCCATTGATGAGAAATAGTTTCGTCTGGATTGAGGTTGGATTAATTGTGGGTGGTTGGCGGGAGCTCTGGTGTGGTTTGCTCCTTCTGTCCTATAAAAAATCTGTCGTCTCTCTCTCCCCTCCTTCTTTTTTATGTTTGTTACTCTCTTTTAACACCTCTAATCTATGGCCTCATTGTGTTGCTAGTGCCGTAAAACTCTTACTACAACTAACTTACTCAAAGTTTAGTATAATGATTGGGTGGTTGGCGGGTGCTCTGGTATGGTTTGCCCCCACTTTCCTATCAAATATCTATCGCTCTTATACCTCTTCTTTCTTTTCTGTGCCTGTTATTGTTCTCTTGCAATACCCCTAGTCTTCGGCATTTATGTGACCTAATTGTGTTGCAAGTGCCGTTAAACTTCTACTAAAACAAAAACAAAATACCCGTAGTGGGTGGTTGGCGGGTGATCTGGTGTGGTTTGCTTCTTCTGTCCTATAAAAAAATATATTGTCTCTATCTCCCCTCCTTCTTTTTTTGTGTTTGTTACTCTCTTGTAACACCCCTAATCTTCGGCATTTGTGTGACCTAATTGTGTTGCAAGTGCCGTTAAACTCCCACGAAAACAAAAAACAAAATACTTGAAAGAGAAAAAATTGCCCATTGGATTGCCTCTCGAGACAGCCCGGCTGTGTGTGTGCGTGTGCATGTGTGTGTGCGTGTGCATGTGTGCATGTGTGTGTGTGTGTGTGAGAGAGAGAGAGAGAGAGAGAGAGAGAGAGAGAGAGAGAGAGAGAGACAGAAGACCAGGAGAATCGGACGTGACCATCTTCCAGTTCACGTTACGTCACCCAGCGACTTGTGTGTCTGTGTACAGATGTTGCTCGGGTCAACACTGGTCATTTCAGGTCAAGCTGGGCCCAACGCCTCGGTCTCTCCCGATATGCAACGGAAAGTTGTAAGTGGGTGGTTGGCAGGTGCTGTGCTGCGGTTTTCTCCTTCTTTCCTATCAGACATCTATCGCCCTTATCTCTCCTCCCTTTTTTTGCGTCGACTACTTTCTTGTAATACTTTTAAGCTTTGGAGGTGGGTGGTTGGCGGGTGCTCTGGTGTGGTTTGCTTATTCTTTCCTATCAAACATCTATCGTCCTTTTCTCTCCTTTTTTGTGTGTACGTTACTCTCTTGTAACACATCTATTCTTCGGCACTTATATGACCTTATTGTGTTGTAAGTGCCGTAAAACTCTTAAGCAAAAAAATGTTCTGTTGCAAGTGCCGTAAAGCTCAACAACAGTTACAGAAAAGAAGTAGAATCTATCAAACTCCCAGCTCTTTGTGTTTGTTACTCTCTTGTAACACCTCTAATCTTCGGCACTTATATGATCTTATTGAATTTCAAGTGCCGTAAAATTCATACTAAAACTAAAACTCTCTTGTAGCACCTCTAATCTTCGGCACTTATATGACCTTATTATGTTGCCTGTGCCGTTAAACTTACTAAAACTAAAACTCTCTTGTAACAACTCTAATCTTCGGCACTTATATGACCTTATGTGTTGTATGTTCCGTAAAACACTTACTAAAAACTAAGACTTATCTCTCCTCCCTCTGTTTTGTGTTTGTCTCTTGTAACTCCTCTTATCTTCGGCACTTATATGACCTCATTGTGTTGCAAGTGCCGTAAAACACTTACTAGTGGGTGGTTGGCGGGTGCTCTGGTGTGGTTGCTCCTTCTTTCTTATCAAACATTTATCGTCCTGATCTCTGCTCCTTCTTTTTTGTTTGTTACTCTCTTGTAGCACCTCTATTCTTCGGCACTTATATGACCTTATTGTGTTGCATGTGCCGTAAAACACTTACTAAAACTCAAACGTGTCTGTCCTCCTTCTGTTTTGTGTTTATTACTCTCTTGTAACACCTCTAATCTCCGGCACTCATATTACCTTATGCAGTTTGCGAGCGCCTTAAAACTCTTACTAAAACTAAACTTATTGACAGAACAACCGAGGACATGTGTCGCAAAATCAATAGCTTCTGATCTACAGCCGGAAGACCAGCGCCAGTGCTTTGTTAAACACCGTGTAGATCTAGCCTGCTGATGTCAGCAGCCACTCTTGTTCATGTTTATCTCCCCCCCCCCCTCTCCCAGCCCCAGCCCCTCCCATTTTCCCTATTCTAGAACAACGCTCAACCTGCGGGTGGTTGGCGGGTGCTCCGGTGTGGTTTGCTCCTTTTCTCCTATGAAACATCTATCGTCCTCATCTCCCCTCCTTCTTTTTTGTGTTTGTTACTCTGTTGTAACACCTCTAATCTTCTGGCGCTCATATGACCTTATGCAGTTGCGAGAGTCCTAAAACCGCTACTAAAACTAAACTAACTAT